TAGATAAAAATTATATTATTGTTATCTTAGATTACTCTCAAGTCAATAACTGTCAACGTTAATGTCCTGTTTCACTGAATCTTACTTAGATTTTTGTAGCCATTCTCTTTCTTTGACTTGGTATTAGTCCTCTGTTAACTTCCAGGGACCAGCAATTCCACCGTGATTTGAAAGTTGAAGACTAGGTGAAGATGTAAAATGTATGTGAATTCTCTAAGATTAAGGTTTTTTACATACATTTATAAATATCAATCAAATACCTGAAAATAGAGAAATATATTATACGAATGAATACCGATATGTAACCGATATGTAAGGATGACTCGACTATATGTCTAATAACACTTTCACTTAACATCTATCAAAATGATAAGCGACTCGTCTGGTCTAATTCGAGTGACTTGAGGAGAACAAGAGCACTAAGAGCATCTCTGAAGGACAAGTAATGGGATTTCAACAGAATCTAATGTTACCATGTGAAACCAAACAAAACTCCAGCTTCAAATTCCTTCTAAAACCAATCAAATTCACGAAATCAAACACAAATCCACATATAATTTTCTTCTGAAACCAATCAAACCCACCTTCAAATTCTAGCTAAATATATGTTTATGGAGAGAGATAAACAATGATGCATGACCTACGGTTAGAAACTTACCTTAATATTTGTTTGATTGTGTCACTTAGCAAGATCTGTGTAAGCTGTTGAGGGCTGTTGAATTTCGTAGCTTCCATGGTGGTGACGGACGGACGGAATAAATTTGCGATGAAGGAGACTATGATTTTGGTGGGTAAGAACGAACAGACACAGGCGGCGACAGAGAGAAGAAGAGGATTATATTTTTGGTTCAAAATTTGAGAAAAAAGTTTGGTATTCCGTTAATTTGAGTCACGAATTTGAGTCAAAGGTTAATAATGATTTTTAAGTTTTAAAATTTACCAAAATTTAAATTTGAATTTACTGGATAAGAAGCGAAGGTGGACTAACAATGGAAATTACCCTTTGTTTCATTTGGATGTGGCAATTAATGTCATTGCGTACCTGTTGTCATCGTGCAATAATTATGATGAATAGTAAAGAATCAAACAATTAAGAAAGCAGGAGAAAATAACACATAGAGATTTACGTGGTTCGTCAATGTGCCTACATCCACGAGAGTGAGCGGCCGTTCTTTTTCATTATTCAAATAGGGTTACATTTTAAGTATTTATATAACCATAATATGGACGTATTTACAAAAATACCCCTGTACTGTACTGCGGGGTCGTTGCCCCCGCACCCCCAACTAATTAGCGTCTCCTTTATATAAATCCCGCAAGGCAGATGCCGTTGCAGGCTCCGCTTCGTTACGTTTCGCCCGCTCCAACATCTGCCTCTTTATCATTATGCACACAATAAATATGAGTCACACATACTCTAACATTACCTTGTTCAACTTAAATGAGTGGAAAGGAGTTAAGATTGATGTGAAATGTGAACTGTAGTGTCCTTGCACAGAAGCTTCATCAATAGACACTACATGATGGGAATCAAAGTCAAATAATTGAAGATTTGCCATTTTTAAAACAGTGACACAAGGATACATTATAAAGGATCCAGCCTAGGAACATTTTTATTCATTACAATTCACAACTGGTGCAATACTTTTGTCATCCTGAAAATTTTCACTGCAAATTTGGAGATAAAAATGTGGTACCTACTGTTCTTGATCATTGTAATACTCTCAGCACCACAACAATCTCTTGTTTTGTCTTCATCACCGTCGCCAAAGAGCCCACATCGATGCCTCAGCCACCAGAGGTCCGCCTTGGTGCTACTGCGGCAAGATGTTCTAAAGCACTACGATCCTTCTGTTATATTTGATGATAACTCTTCAGTGAAAGTTCAGCAATGGAAGCTGGAAAGAGATTGTTGTTCATGGGAAGGTGTCACCTGCGACGTCGCTGGTTATGTCACTGGCCTCAACCTCAATTATAGCATGATTTCCGGTCATATCAGTGCCATATTTGATCTCCACCATCTCCAATATCTTAGCCTTGCTAGCAACAACTTCCGGTTAAACCCAATACCATCTGGGTTTGATAGGCTTAAGAGTTTGACCCATCTAAATCTTTCATATTCCTGCTTCTCCGATCAAATTCCCATGGAGATTTCCCGGTTGACAAGGTTAATATCTCTTGATCTATCCACTATTCCATTTTGTGAACTCCCAAACACCTTTAATGACCCAGACATCAATCGCATATTTGAATATGAAGAGCTCCACAGGCTCAGACTAGAAGAACCCAACCTCCAGACATTTTTCCAGAACCTGAATGCTCTCAGAGAGCTCAAATTAGATTATGTAGACCTCTCAGCTCAAGGTTCTAACTGGTCTGATGCCTTAGCTCATGCACTTCCTAACCTTCAGGTTTTGAGTTTGTCTTTCTGTCGTCTCTCAGGACCTATCCATCCTTCCTTCTCACAGCTCAAATCTCTATCCCACATCGGCCTTGATGGTAATCATCTCTCTTCTGCAGTACCCCATTTTTTGGCGGATTTCTCAAATTTGGTAACTCTCAGTCTCAGATCTTGTGGTTTGCATGGGAGTTTTCCTGAAAAATTGTTCACACTGCCAAAATTACAAACCATTGATCTTTCGGACAATTCACTCCTCACTGGTCAGTTGCCAAATTTTTCATTGAATAATTCTTTTCAGCAGATGATACTGTACAAGACAAATTTCCATGGGAAATTGCCAGACTCCATTGGTAATCTCAAGTTCTTGACAACTTTACTCCTCTATAATTGTAATTTCACTGGGTGGATCCCATCATCACTTGCCAACCTGACTCATGTTCTTGAATTGGATCTCAGTTACAATAGATTCAGTGGTCCAATACCTCCATTTCATTCTAGCACTGTTCCAAAGCTTGTAGACCTTGGCTTGTCTTACAATCTCCTAGATGGTGCGATAGATTCTTTGCTGTTTACCCTCCCATCGCTGCAAAACTTACGTATGAACAATAATCATTTCACTGGTCAACTTGAGGAGATCCCAAATGCATCTTCTTCAGTGTTGGAATATGTTTATTTGCAGGGAAATGGTTTGAGCGGGCCAATACCTAGGTCAATCTCCAAACTCCCAAGACTCTTGTTTCTCTCCCTTGCTGCCAACAACTTTAATGGCAGCATGAAGCTTGACATCTTCCAGAGTCTCCAGAACTTAACCAGTCTCGATCTTTCAGACAACAATTTGGCAATTGAAAGTGACGACAATGAGGGGTTTACATTTCCCAGTCTCGAAGAATTAAGATTGAGCAGCTGCAACTTAACCGAAATCCCCAAGTTCCTCAAGAATGAAGTTGTATTGAGGTCTCTGAACCTTTCCAACAACCACATCCATGGAAGCGTCCCCAGTTGGTTATTGAACAGCAGCACTCTTTATGAGTTGGACCTTTCTCATAACGGAGTTGATTTCTCTGATTCAAACCAGGGCAAGTCTGTCTTTAGTGGTGACGAATTTACATCATTTGCAGTGCTAGGCAAATTGGCTATGCGCTCCTGCAACGTAAGTAGATTTCCAGATTTCCTGAAAGCCCAAGATGGGCTGTTTTACCTCGATCTTTCAGGCAACAAAATTGATGGTCGTACGCCCAGCTGGATATGGAAGAAGAAGCTTCAGTATCTGAATATTTCTCACAATTTCTTATATGCTTTGGATGAATTTCTTCCTAATATGTCTACCCCGTTGCAAACTCTTGATCTTCGTGCCAACCTGCTTCAAGGATCTCTCCCAAAGGCAATATGCAATTTGAGCAGTCTGTCTATCTTTGATGCTTCTGATAACAAACTAAGCGGCTTTATCCCGGAATGTCTTGGAAAAATTGGCACTCTTTCTGTTTTGAACGTCAAAGGGAACAACTATCGGCGTTTCCCTCCAGATTTTGCTCTAGCAAGCAGTCTTCGGTCACTGAATATCGATGGCAATCAATTGGAAGGAGAGTTGCCAAGGTCTTTAGCCAAGTGCACAATGCTAGAGGTTTTGGACCTTGGTAACAACAACATTTCTGATACATTTCCGTTTTGGTTGGATAAACTGCCTGAATTGAAAGTGCTTGTCTTGCGAGCCAACAGATTTTATGGTCAAATTGATCATCATGGGGGTAAATTTGTTCTCCCCAACTTGGGAATAATGGATCTTTCTTCTAATGAATTTACAGGTGTACTGTCCAATGAATTCTTCCAAAGTCTGAAGGTCATGGCAATGATCGGTGAAAATGAATCAGAGCCAAAATATATCGGAGACAATGAATATTATCAAGATTCAGTGACAATTATGAACAAAGGGATCGAGATGCTACTAGTAAAGATCCTAAAAATATTTGTTTCTCTTGATCTCTCAAACAATAAGTTCCATGGTGACATCCCAGAAAAGATAAGGGATCTCAAATCGCTTGTTGTGCTGAACTTGTCTCGAAATGCTTTTAATGGACCCATTCCATCATCTCTAGGGGAGTTAGCTGAGCTGGAGTCATTAGACCTATCACGAAATAACCTTTCTGGGATGATTCCTCAACAACTTACCAGCCTTACATTCCTGGAAGTGTTGGACCTCTCTCATAACCAACTCTCGGGACACATTCCTCAAGGCAACCAATTCAATACATTCTCAAATGCTTCTTACAAAAGAAACATGAGATTATGTGGATTTCCATTGTCGAAGAAATGCAAAGAAACTGGGGATGCAGTACCGTCTGTGGATCACGGTGACACTTCTGAGACAGGGAGCGTGTTTGATTTGAAAATTGTGTTGATGGCATATGGTTGTGGATTAGTAATTGGATTTTCAGTAGGATATACATTTTGGTCCAAGATAGAAGATATCTGGTATACGAATTTTGGAGGGCGGGGCAGAAAGCCTGGAAGAAGATCAAAAAATGGCCGCAGGTATCTATCACGAAGTTGAAGATATCAGTGACTAGTAACTAAATGTTTGTTAGGTATAATAAATCCGATTATGTTGGTTATTCATATAAGCTAGTATAAGAGTAATCGATTGGATAACACAGAGTTAATCACCATGTGATACATAGAACAAATAACACAATCTGATGAGTAGAACAAAGATGTGTATCATTTATCTTCGATAGGAAATTGAGTGATATCTGGCAAATCACATGAGCTAGTTTCTATCCCCTGGAAGTCAAATTGCTGCAGCTTGATGATGTGATTGTAGGCCAATACAAGGGCCACAGCAAGGGCAGTAAATCATATCCAGGATACACAGACGACCCAACTGTGCCAAAGGACGGTCTTACTCCAACTTTTGCAGCAGCGGCACTCTTTATTAATAACGCCCGATGGGACCTGGTCCCTTTCCTGATGAAAGCCGGGAAAGCTCTTCATACTAAATGGTAGATTGATCTTCTCTTTCATTTTTCTTCTTTTTCCTTCAAGATAATCTTAACAATTCTATTCCCTGTATGCTGTATGTTCTGAGTAATGAAATGATCAGACATTATTCTTGCTATGGACATACAGGGCAGAGATCAGAGTCCAGTTCAGCCATGACCCGGGTAACTTGTACAAGCGGAACTTTGGAACTGATTTGGATAAGGCTACAAATGAACTAGTGCTTCGTGTACAACCGGATGAAGCCATATACCTGAAGATTAACAACAAGGTTCCCGGCCTTGGAATGAGACTGGACCGCAGTGACCTTAATTTGCTTTACAGTGCTCGGTAAAAGACTCGTGGTTGACCAGGGGTAGAACTTTAATTTAGCGATAGTTATGAAAATAATTAGGATTCCGACATCATCTTATGCATGATCTTCATCCCAATAGTGTGATTTTCATGTCATGCCACTTTTGGATTGAATTGCTCAACACAATTAGACACCATCTAAATAATACTACCTAACTCTCAAACAACATGTGACACTTATATGACGCACATAGTAATTTGTTTAATCATGAGTTGTGAACTTGTGATCAACAAAATACTTCAAAAAATCATATTGCCGCACACCAACCGAAACCCTCCAATTCGCCACAACCCCTGCCAGGGGTGAGCGTGACTCGCACCCCATTTTCAATGAAATCTTCCACTGCCACCAAATCACCTCCAACACTGAGACCCACCAAATCCACACACTACCACCAAAACCAACCAAATTCACTCCTCACTACCACTGCTACAACCCACCTGCTTCACCTCAAATCTACACCACCACCACCAAGAGCATTATGAGTAGTCTTAAAGTTGTAAATTGGAGTCAACTATCACATTTTTGGCAAACTCTATTTTTTGTAATATTGGGAAGAACTTGAATTCTTTTTGAAGGTTTCCAAGAGAAATACCAGATGCATATGAGCGGCTCCTTTTGGATGCAATAGAAGGAGAACGACGATTGTTCATTAGAAGTGATGAGCTCGATGCAGCTTGGTCTCTATTCACACCATTGTTGAAGGAATTGGAAGGGAAGAAGATTGCACCAGAGCTCTATCCTTACGGAAGTAGAGGACCCGTCGGGGCACATTATCTTGCTGCAAAGCACAATGTTAGATGGGGAGATCTTAGTGGTGAGGACCGATGAACATTGAGTAGCTTTTTTTTTTCTGGCGCTTCACGTGCAATTCCCCAATCCTAACAAAGTAGTTCCTCCGGAATGAAATTTGGTTCTTTCCCATGCATTAAGTGTAAGCTAGTTGATAAGTTCACTATAGATGGGGGAGTTAAAGGTCACTGTATAGTGACCGTGAAGCATTTTGAAAGATCAATGTTTGGAATATGTGGCTAAAATTCTTCGATGTTAATCAAATCACAATTGGTGGTCAAATCTGAAATACATATAAAACTCCAATTCGTTAGTTAAATATTGCATTATTTATGACATATTTTATAGATGCATTTTTTTGTGAAATTATTATGTATTAAATATTTTTTATAATGATGCATACATATATATATTACATTGATATAATTGAATGTTTGAGTTAGATCTTTTCTAGTCAATATGAGTGATTTGGTTAGAGGAACTCATCAAGTAATGAAAAACTTGTCAATCCTACTTGGAGTATAATTAGTCTATTTTGAATATAGATGGTTGAGACTGGTGGAGTTGAGATAATAATGGAAAGTTGAGGATATTTTGCTGAGTAGTAACAGCTAGTTGAACGGCTAACTGATACGATACGGATTAACAATATTTAATATTATTATCGGATTATCTCAACTCAACCAGCAAAATATTAGGGAGTTGAGGATAATATTTAATTATTATCAGATACGTAGGAGGTATATTCGATACGTATCTTCGAGTATCCGACGAGTATCGTATCCGATAAAATATTCCATACGGATACGCCAACTCCAATAAAATATCTGTAGTTCTCTGCATACAGAGAAAACACACTAAGAAAACACACAATTTGTGAGAAAATTCATTGAAGCAAAATTTCAATCTTACTGCTTTCATATCAAAGAGAATTATCTAATTCTCTTCTGTAAATTTTTACATTGGTATCAGAGCAACAGGCGGTCATCAAACATCACAAATATTTTTTTTCCAGTCGTTTTTTCGACTACATCTGGTCTTCGTTCCTAATTTTGTTTTTCACATCCCACGAAGGCCAGAGGAATTTACCAGTTTCTGTCAAAGATTAATTGCTTTTCATCAAGACATCAAATTCCACAACAAAAACTACTTTTTTTTTTGTGAAATAGTCTAACAACTTCAAAAATTGCGGTAACCTTTTGAATTGGAATTCTTTGTTCCTGGACGTTCCAGCTGAAGTTTCGAGGTGGTGTCTTCAACGTGTTTGACTACCACGGCTTCATTCAAGTGAACAATTTCTTCACAAATTGTTAAAGCTTCTGTGGGTAATTGAGTTTCGGTATATGTGAAGAAATCAGACCGTAGCAGTTTCAGATTTGAGCAATTGGTGTTGTATTCTACTCGAAGCACTCTTGGAACCACACTTTGGTAACAAAATTAAATCGGGTCAGTTCTAACCAATTTTACCTAGCAATTTATTTTTCTATAATTTGTCAATATAGGGTCTAAAGCTGCTAATGTAGAACTAAGCAAAATTGAGAGACTTAATGGTACAAATTATTCAATTTAGAAACGTAGGATCTGTCACATATTATTTCAAAATAAAGTTGAATATGTCATTGACACATCATACCCAAAAGAACCACCTCTTAGAGTCGGATAGACGACTAGAAACACCTACGAAAGATTCGTAGAGAACGAAAAATTGGCTAGGTCAATCTTGCTCACTTTCATGGAACCCAATTTAGAAGTCATTTTTTAAGAACATGAAACTGCTAAGTCTATATTTGATGTTATAACACAAGCTTATGATACTGCCTCTAACACATATATTCAACTATTGATTGAAAAATAAAATGACACTTTTTAAAAAGAGAATGAGTTTATTGTTGAACATGTCAATAAACTTGTGGTAATAGCTAAAGAGTTGACATCTCTAGGTAACTCAATTCCCAATAAAATACAAGTTTCTACTGTTTTACATAATTTTTCTAATTCATGGGAGTCCGTTGTGATTTCTTTGAATATGTCTGGCCAATATTTAACAATGGCAAAGTTACTTATGTTGCTAGGCATTGAGGCCGAGAGAAGGGCTAAAAAGAAAACTAGTAATTTGTTAAACCTAGTTTCTAGTGTCTCATCTAATAATGTGTCAACTATTCCATCTTTTCTTAAGCCCGGACAAGACAAACATTTTAAAAGGAATAATAAGAAATATAATAAGTTCAAGAGACATAATAATTTTAAGGAAAAACAAATTGATACTTATTATAACTGTAGGCAGCCCGATCATTATAAAAGAAATTGCACACAAAAGAATAATGGTCAAAATTTTAAAGGATCAAGAGACATTGTATGTGTGGTTTTTGAGTTGCTTTTTGCAGACTGTGACTCTCTTATTTGGTGGATTGATTTTGCCTCTTCTTAGCATGTGGCTAAGACTAGAGATAATTTTGTTGAAATAAAGGAGGTGAAAATCGGCGACCACAAGTTATACATGAAAAATAATACTTACTGCGATGTGCTTGAAATTGGCACCGTGAGAATTTTGTTACCCGGGCAAAACAACCTCCTCTTGACTGATGTACTTTATGCGCTTAATATGCGGCTCAATTTCTTGTCTGTGCCATGATCAGATGATAAGGGTTTTGAAGTCCATTTTCGGTCTTCTAAAGTTTCTGTTGGTAAACATGATCGTATTCTTGCATGGGGGACTAAAGTTGATGGTCTTTACCGTTTAAATGTTGTTAGTGACAATAATAAAATTGATTCTTCTTCTGCTTATGTCGATGTCTCTTGTGATGTTAATGTTTATTTTATTTTATAGCATATGAGATTAGGTCATATTAATTATAATAAAATGAAAAACATGGCTAACATTTGATTGATTCCAAATTTAGATCTTGACTTGAAATTATGTGAATCTTGTATAAGTGAAAAAATGACTAGAAAGCCATTTGAAAAATTAAAAAGAGCTAAATATTTGCTAGAATTAATACATTTTGATATTTGGAGTCCTCTAAATGTTAAAATTCATCATGGTATGAAATATTTTATTACTTTTACAGATGACTATTCAATATATGGTTATATATATTTACTAAAGAAATAGATCGGATGTCTTATAAAAATTTATTGAATTTAAGGTGGAAGTGAAAAATCAACTAGGTAGAAAAATTAAAATATTAAGGACGGATCGAGGTGGTGAATACATGACTGAAATTTTTGAATCTTTTTGTAAAGAAAATGGAATAATACATCAATTAACGATTTCTTATACACCTCAACAAAATAGTATAGCCGAAAAGAGAAATAAAACATTTCTTGATATGGTTAGATCTATGCTTAGTCATGTACATTTGAGTACTAGATTTTGGGGTGAAGCCATTTCTACTGCTATTTATATTCTTAATAGAGTACCATCTAGAACAATAGGAATGACACCTTATGAAATTTGGAGAGGTACAAAATCAAGTCTTTCTCATTTAAAAGTTTGGGATAGTTCGGCACATGTTAAAATTTTAGGACCTAATAAAGGAAAATTATATCCTAAATCAATAAAATGTACTTTTATTGGATATTGTGAAAATTCTGTTGGTTATAGATTTGTAATTCACCATAGTGATGGATAAGTGGGAGTCATTGAAAGTAGAGATGCATTTTTCTTTGAAGATGACTTAGATAAAATTGAAAAAATGATTGAACTATTTGAAATTACTAAGAAAAATGAAAATAAACAACCACAAGAGCAAATAATAAAAGAGTCTCCACCCAATGATACTTTAACTATAATACAAAGAGAAAGACATCCACCTAGCTACTTAAAAGATTATCATGCATTCAATAGTGAAGATATTCCAAATGATCCTATTGATTTTAATGATACTATAAATTCAATTGATCATTTAAAATGGAGAGAAGCAATTAAAGAAGAAATAGAATCTATAGAGAAAAACAAAGTTTGGGAGTTGGTTGATTTACCAATAGATAAAAAAGAAATTGGGTGTAAAAGGATCCTTAAAAAAAAATTAAATCGGATGGATCTATAGATAAATATAAAGCTAGACTAGTGGCTAAGGGATACACACAAAAGGAAGGTATATATTATGATGAAACATATTCTCCCGTAGCTAAGTTTACCTCTATAAGAATATTAATGTCCTTGGTTGCATACTTCGACCTAGAGTTGCATCAAATGAATGTTAAGACTGCTTTCCTTAATGGCGAACTTAAAGAAGAAATTTATATGTATCAACCGCAAGGATAGAAAGTTGAAGGTAAAGAAGATAAGATGTACAAATTGAATAAGTCCTTATATAACTTAAAACAATCCTCAAGACAATGGTATCATACTTTTCATAATGCAATTATATCTTATGGTTTTTTTCCAAATAACTATGATCATTGTATATATACTTGGAATAGTGAGAGTTATTATATTATTATTTCCTTGTATGTAGATGATATTTTACTTGTCGAAAATGACATAAATAGAATCTTAGAATTAAAAGATTGGTCAAACACCAAGTTTGAAATGAAAGATATGGGTGAAGCACATTAGGTACTTGGAATTAAAATTCCTAGAGATAGAAAATAAAGAAAACTGAGTTTATCTCAAAAATCTTATTTGAAAAATATTTTAAAGAATTCAAAATGGATTCTTGCAAACCTATTGAATCACCCATTTACAAAGGAGTAAAATTGTCTAAGAATATGGTTCCTAAAACTGAAGAGGAAATACAAAAAATGAAATCTAAACCCTACGCGGAAGTTGTTGGTAGTCTTATGTATGTTATGTTATGCACCAGACCAAACCTTAGTTAAGTTGTTGGTTTGATTAGTCGATATCAAAGTAATCCAGGTATATCTCATTGGTTAGATGTAAAACGTGTACTTAGATATATATAAGGTACATTAGACCTTTCTTTAACATATCAAGTTGATGATATAAATGTTAATAATTATTGTGATGCTGATTTTACTGGTGATATTGATAACAAAAAATCCACCACATGTTATATATTTGTTTTTGGTGGTGA